GAGCAGATATCGATAATACCTGGAAATTCCAACAAAACAGAAAGCTGTGAGCAAAAGAAAGTATTATTTACTTCATCTTCTCCTAATTCAATTTATTGTACCTTTCATATTTCTCTCATCAAAAGTATCTGAGACTGAAATTTATCATTAAGACTTTCCGTGAGCCTCTCTTCATGAGCTTCTTCTCATAATAAATTAAGTTGCTTCCGTTAATTATGATGTGTCAGAACGCGGTTTCTCTAAAAGGAGTAAGACATCAATTGTTTAGCTTCAAAGGAGTATACCAAATTCATTACTGAAACTGAAGCATACGAGATTATCAGGTCAAATAAATATTGCCACTGTAAATATATATGATGATAAATGATATATTGATATTCAGAACTGATAATTTAGATTTAAATATTACTAAATATCCGGTCAAAGTCTCTTGAGATATGCTAATGGTATATTGTTACTGAAAGAAAACCGTGTTTCCTAGCGTTTTAGAGCCAGGTTCTAAAAATTTATAAATAATCACGTAATTTTTTCTCTTCCTCAGTGTGTTCAGAGAACGAGCTTGCCTAAATTTTAAAATGGATCTGTCCACGTATTGACATTTTTGTCTTACTAACAAAGACAAACCCTCGTAGACTACCTGCGAAAGTCATGCTAAATCTTTCCCTTCTAACTATATATATTACAACTAACTTTCAACTTCTAACTATATATCTATCTATATATATATATATATATATGAAATGTAATTTCTCATACATTATTTGTTTTGTGCAGCCGGGGCAACAGGAATGAGACAAATTTTGGAATATAAAGCGGTAGGTTTATTTTAGCATCCATCTCACAAGCGTTCTCCTCGTACCTTGAGCAGAAGCCCTACTTATACATATGTGTACGTCACGAGGCTCCTCCAATCAGCGATATTAATTGAAATTACGAGGTGACGCTATCTTCTCATCAGGAGTGTTCTTAAGTACTTTATGTAATATGACAGATTTATGAGTTTGGCGATTTGGCGGGCGCCAACAGGTTAATATATTTTATACTAAAGAAGGGATTTCGCCAAAATTTAGGAACAGGGATGCAATTTAGGTAAAGAATCGCCAATAGGTTATTAAGCAATATTAATAGAATTTAATTTAATCAATTGATTTAAAAATATCATTACATATATATATATATATAATCAAGAGATAGCAATCAAATAAAAAATTAAATGAAAAAGTGGTTAACAATTTAACAGAAAGTTCAAACCTAAAACAAAAAATAAAACAAAACAAAACAAAACAAAAACTTAAATAAAATAGCAGAATAAATATAACAAATTGTTGAAAATTCCTTGTTTGTTTTCAAGGGGCATCCTAAGAAATTTAACAGAGCCGGGTTTTTGAATTTTGTAGGTAAGATTATAAGTTCGAGAAATTATTGAAAAGAATGCCAAATAAAACATTAATTTTATTAAACGTATTGACTGAAGTCCATTAATAGTGCAATAAAGCAAAAAAATAGTTTTTAATTTTAATTAATCGTAAATATACAGTCTGCTCTGGCATGAGTCCAAAACAAAAAAATAGTCTAAAAATAAGGACAAAAAAAAGAGTTTTCGAAGTAGGAAACCAGAAAAACCATTGCAGAATTTTTTTTTTTTCAAAATAAATGAAGAATGAATGATAAAATTAAATATAAAAATAAACATTAAATATTTTCAATTTTTTTCAAACCGGAAGACGATTTGTAAATTAATTTTCATTGTTTATTGTTCCAGTTAGACTTATTAATTAATTGATTAAAGCACTTAACAGTAACAATTAAGTAGTTCTGAATACATGCTTCGTCCTTTTTGACTATTTCAGTGAATTTTTTAAAATAACATGCAGACATTTTTTACAAGAAACATAACCCCATTCATAAATAGTCAAAAATAGACCCATTGTGAATTCAGACTTTTTAAAATTTTTAGTTTCTCTGGAATTAGAGGGACTAGTGTATACAAGATATATTTATATATAACATATTTCTCATTCGTGAGTATGATAAAAGTTATGAAACCCAGCAATTACTGTTCTGGTTTTAGGAATTAAAAATATGTTTAAATTATAGATTGTTAAGAATCTTTTATTTTAATGACGGGTGTTTATATCGTCCTAAAAATTTATTCTTCTTTTGACATTCATTTCGCAAACTAGAATTTGCTGCAAGGTGTTGCTAAGAAATCCAATTTCGAGAGAGAGATTAATCTCTATTTATTAAATAGGATACTTTTATTTATGTCAAAGATAAAAGAAAGATCTTGTGAACCATCAACTGGCCATAAAGAACAAGGCATTATCACAAACTAAAAACAATAATTTTATTTCAAGGCATTACGTCTCAAATTTTGTTTTATTATATTTTTATTTTCTTATTAAAAGATTTTTTCCCTTGTTCTCACGGAAAATATATTTGAACTGTGTAATATGTAAAAGTATTATAATTTATACAAAATTGTTGTTTCGCAGTTTTTCAAATTTTTTTCTTTCCATATTTTATTCCGTAAATTGTTATGAAAAAACAACCATTTACATAAAAACGACTCCCTAAGAAAGTTAATTATTTTAAATTTATACTATAATCGTGTTAAATGAATGCATATTAAATATATTTTAAAAGAAAACTTTATTAGATTTGTAAGAATTTTGTAAGAAAATTCTATTAGCATATTTATATAGTTTGTAGAAGATTTTTGGCATTTATTATTACGATGATTATTTTATAATATTAAGCTCGTATTTGCTTCGCATATATGAAAAATAATAAGGTCACTCATATAACTACTTATTTGTCTTAAATATTAAAAAATATTTTCAATGTTCAGCAGCAGCTTAATTTATTCGATCACAAGTGTAGTAATGGAAAGCAAATAAAATAACTTGGATACCTTGAATTCTATTAAAGACAAAAATTCGTTGATGCAGCAGATTTATAATAGATATTTATTGTTATTAAAGAAATATGTAAAATAATTCATGATTTTTATGTACATATTTAGATATTCTGGATTTTACTATTAATAAACTATAGTATTAATAAGGAGTTATAATTTTAAAATATGATTTTCTTTGGGATACTTAAAAGATAAACGCAAGTAACTGATACTTTCAATAAGCTTAAGAGAGTCATAAGTTTTATTTCTGAATGTAAATAAAGTTCTTCCAAATGCATTATATATAAATAAGCAACATGATTTAGATGAAAAAGTGCAATTCATTTCGAAAAGGACCTGATAAGTTCTTGCTTCTTTATCAGCGACTTATACTAAAGCGATCTTTTTTTCATAGAAAGCAAGTTATGCTGAACTAGCATAACTCTGTAAATGTGAGACATCGAAAATCAATCTTTTTTTTTTAATGTGCTGAAACGTTTTGAATGAAATTAAAGGTATTGTATCAAACATCAGATATTGTGCCTGTTTAGGTCGTGACTTTTTTGTAAAGCAAGCGTTAAATTAAAAGCACAGACATTAGTTTAACTCATATACCTATTATATAAATTGAATTTGCTTACATTAAAATTATGTGAACATTTAAAAATGTAAATGAAATCTCATTCATTCATATATGACTGAAGTAAACTACAGCTTCTAAGTTTCAGAAAAACATTACTACAGACTCCGCTTACTGTGATTGCGGTTAATGTTATCATTCGGATATTGCTGTCGATTTGTTGAAGACCTGCCCGTTTGTTTACGAAAACGTGGAAAATGCGTCGCTTGTGATCAGCAATTCGGATAATATTATCAAAATATTATAGAATAATTTTTTAACTGAAGTAATTTCGTCACATGAAGTCAAAATAGACCATGTCACCTTACTTGTGACAATTTCAGGAAAATGTCGCCAAATAAGAGATTAAGTTGCCAAACAGCTTGCTTTCGATTTTAGCCAACCATTTAATGTTAGGCCAAAAAGCAACCTTAATTTGGTGGCTTTGAAGAGTGATCCGATGCTGGTTATGTGCTTTTTAGGAGAAAAATTAATTCTCTTCTGTAGAATGTTTAGGGAGAAAAAGTTTCCTGAAAACATCTATGCTAAACTAAGGTTGCATTTTTTTCTTAATTTTAAATTTTAAATTTGCATGCTATCTTTCAGTGAATGAAAGATGCCTTGCGAGTGTTGAGATTAAAGCCACATAATTTCCAAAAAGGTTGCGAAGATTTCATTAAATGGCCGTTTGAGTTAGTAACATTATAAATGGTTCATAAACAAATTTTTGCATTTTCGTAGTTGAAATTCTGTGAAAGTATTAATTATATGTTTGTTATTGTATTGATATCAATGTACTTAAACAGTTTCTGATATTCTTTAAAAGCATAGCTTTGTTGAAACATTCAGTATTTCTGTATAAATTTTATGCTACAGACTAGATTTTGTTCAAGCATTTAAATTAAAATATAGAAGTAGTAGCCAAAATGTCAGGAATCGCTAAAATGCAATGAAGTAAAATTATAACAGCACGCAAAACTTAAATTAATAGTGTGATGGTATTATGCTGAGAAAGTTTTCCATTTTGAATTTATTTCAAATTCAAAATATTTCAATTAGTTTTCAAATTTCCTTGCAGCATCTTTAGTCCGGAAGATGGTTAAAAATGAGGCAAAACAAACATCGGAAATATAAGCAAACAAAAAATATAATGCTGCTGAAAGAAATATCTGATTTGGGGCTCTCAACATTATTTACTGATATACATTTAAAAAAAAAGAATCCAAAATCCATTACTGATACTACCCGAACATTTTGGTCCATTTTTTAAAGCTATTGTCTGACGGATGAAGATAGATGGAATAAAAAAATGATAACCAGGAAAATTCTACGATAAATCTAATTTCCAGCACGTGCACAATTTCTCTCGATACTCAGTTGGGGATTTTTAGCTTATTTTTCTTTTTAATCTTCCAACCAACATGTTTCCTCTCGTGGTTGCATTGTAACTCATTTTCTGGCTTCGCCGAATTTCTCCCTCAGGGTCTCAACTACGGAACCACCAGGAGCAGGCAATTTACGAGGTTCCAGATTTAGGAAGGAGGAAACAAGAACGTTCCCGGTCTTGGAGAGAAGCTGGAGACGGGTGAGAATGAATTATGCATGCACATAGTCTCGAAGTATAATTTATGAATTTCTGAGAATAGAAATCTGACTTTTGGTATTATAATAAAATGCTTAAGGTCTTTTCTCATTTTCAAATAGATGCAAGTTTACAAATTTTAGGAATAAATATTTCTGATGATATATTCCTAACAAGAATTTTTGATACTTTGTATTTCTGGTTGGGGCAATTATTTTTCCGAAACAAAAGTGCTTATTTTAATCTTCTTTTCGAAACACATTTCCAATAAAGAAGTAAATCAAGATTTAAATTACAATAGGGGTTGATTTAAAAATTCTGCAACTAAACGAATCAAGTATTTTTGTTGTCAGAATTCATGCAATGTTCAGCAAACAATAGCTGAAAACTCTACTTTTAATATGTGTAATAACAGACAGGCTTTTGAAATCAAATTGACGACTGCCAAAACTTGCTTAAAGCAATTCCTAGTAGACTGCGTAAAATTGAGAATATCACGAATAGCCAATGAAACATGAACTAAGTTCATTTAAAATTAAATACAGCTTTTTATGAGGCGCCTCAATGTAATATTCACTACAAAATTCAATTTTAATACTTATACTAATAATGCAAGATTGGAGCCAATTCTCCTATAATGATAATTTAATTTGTGAAGCAATTTAATTAAACGTTCTTATATGGTCTTACATTCTGTAAAAAGTTTGCAATTGCTTATGGGTTACTTAAATTCACGTTATTCAAAAGCTTTTATTAAAATCCTCATTAATTTTGTGTCTGAATGTGCTTTTGTTTGAGTGTATAAGAGAAACAGAGAAAACGGGCTTATTATACGTGAATTAGTACGTAAAGTTCGAAATTAGGATTATTTGGATTGAAGCAAAACATGCTAAAGCTATCAGTCTGAGATGATGGATATCTCCCTAGAGGACTTTCTAAGTGATACTGGTACGTATTAATGTTACCCACTAAAAAAAGGAACAAGAAAAAAAGTGCATGTCTATGCTTGAGATGGGCATTATTTTAATAAAAGGTTTGATTACAGAATTTGTTAAGTATTTTATATTAATTAACCAATTATTAAGATTTAAAACTTTATTATAACATTTCCTTTTCTGTAGAATTCAAATTTATTGGTAAAGTTTTAAAGTCGAGGTTTTTGTATATTTCAGTGTTAAGCTTTCAGCTGCGTCGCCTGCAGTTTAGATTCTATTACCCAGCCTTGCCAATGAAAAATCATTCCATTAGTAGTTTTATTAGTTGATGTTAAAATGTGTCTTTAAAATACTTCTCGGCTTAAATAAGTTAATTTTTGTAGTCTTCGTGTATATTACTTTTAATTTGAAACGCCAGCTTATGTTATTTGAAATACCGCAAGTGGTGGAGTTTATTTGTACTCATAACTTGTAGCTCTGCCAGCGAATATTCCGGCTTTAGCAAATTCGCTAGCTGACTTTGAACTCCGTCATTAAACTAGAGACATCTTACGTTGTTATCTGTTCCACTAAGTTTCTTTGCATTTGAAACTTCAGCTTATGTTACTTTAAATACCTACAAGTGGCGGTGTTATGATTACAAGCACGAGTGATGCCTCCTGTTAAATTTCAAGAATTAAATAAAAGGTTATTTACTACCTTAAGACATTGCCGTAATATTTCAGACGGAGTCAAAACTCATGACTCAGGGAATGATTTGACAATGACTAAGTGGATAAGATGGCTGAATACTGATAGTTCAACTTGGAGTCAAATCCCAAACAACTGACTTGATCTTTATGTAACTAAGCATAATGCAAAGCAGTGGTATCAAAGTCAAATTTTGCATACGAATCGAATGCAGTATTTGTAAGCAGTTGATGTGCCAAATTTTCCCTTTCTCCCAAAATAATTTAAAGTTTTATTAACAAAGCGAATGTTGTACTTAAATGAAAACTTTTATTTAATAAATGTTTATCAAAACATGTATAAACAGTGATAATAATGACCCAAAGCAAAAAATTCCAATTTGTATTTTTTTCTGTGTGAAATTTAAACGCTAGGAACTGCAAGAAATTTCTACTAGTTACAATTTGTAACCCAAAAGTATTGGTACCTAAATATTAATTTCAGACTGGCATTTATTTCAAATAATTCATGTGTTGAATTAATCACTAAATAACATACTTAACTAGAGGTAAACAAATTACAATATTTTTCCTAGTGGGACAAATGTTGAGTATAGAAAATTATAATCTATTCTCTTTCTTTTATTTATTAAATGTTTCTTTGACACATGCAGAAAAAAAATGCATATATTTGTATGTAAATAATTATAGCAATCTTTACTTCTTACTACAGCTTTCAATTCTAACATCTCACAACGTTTCGATTCCAATAATTAATATCCTTTGAAAACTTTATTAGAAACTATCACGAATTATAGATGGTCATCGATAGTTTGCTTCTTGTTGATTAGATTTATTAATTTTCACCTTTGAAAAAAACAATTTACACATAAAAGTGTTCCCAAACAAGACTTTTCTTGTTGCAAATATTCATAATTGAGGATATTTTTAATTTGACCTGTTTTAATTAAATCCATATCTTCAAATCTTTGAATAAAATTTATATCACAACGTAAATTAATTAGCTACATTTGTAGATATTTCGGGACGTTACTCAAGCCCATTTTTAATGGAAGTGAAAATAATGTGAAACCATACCCAAAATCATTAACATCTTAAAACTTTCTTTAAGTTCTTGCCATAATAATGTCAAAATAATGCTAATCAATTGACGAGAAATGTATTCTCAGTTCGGGTAAAATTACTTCGAGCTCGAAGCTTTATGCGACCTGCGGGCCACCAATCAGAGTTCACTGATAAAGGGTACATAACCTTTTTTTCAAGCATGCATCATTAATACGAGCTAATAACCCTTTCGTGACATCAAACGTGACTTTCGTTACGTGAATAGGAGGCAGTTCCATTTTTAAGCCGTTCGCGGAGAATTAGTCCTCCTCGAAGACAACCCGCCCCTTAAACAGACAGCCGTAGTGAACTTTGCCAATAACTTTTCTAATCTAATAAATCTCAATTAGTCTTTCTGTTCTGAAGATCCACATGGCTAACCCTTATGACATATTTCAGATGAAAAATGGCGCTTTCCGTCCCCTTCTAACTACATCATTTCTAATTGATGGTAAGAGTAATAGTAAGTCTAATTTATAAACTCCATTTGACGCAATGGGCGCCAATTTGTTAATTTTTATATAATTTTTTTTTACTTATATGTATCACTTATAAATTACCTATTGCAGTTCCTTTTCTATCACAAAACTGGATCTACAGTAGGCGATGAAACTTTTCCATTATCAGTTTTTATTGAATTTCTATTCATTTGTAATAAATGCTTTGGTTTTTTTTTCTCTCTATTACAGCAACTCCAGCGCAGGTTCTGATGACAACGAGGACGACCTCGTACTCTCTTCCAAAGACAGAATGTACAGAGATGAAGCTAGAGAATCCGAGACGGAATGCGACAGGCTGTGTGAGTAACCTCCCTATCCGCTTAATTAAAATAACTCTAAGTAATTTGGTTATTTGTGTATCGAATAACAAAGAGATGGAAGTGTTCGAGATAATTAAAGTCAACAAAAGCATACAGATTGGAGGAAATCACAGAAGACAGAAATGTAATTAGCTTCATTGTGTGACGAATACTTCATTATGTTATTTGCTGTTAATTTCCAGGAAAGGTTCTACTGTTCCTTTACGACAGTAAAAGAAGATATATTTTCAAAAAAGTTAAAAAGCAATTTGTGTTTGTATTAAAACCTGCGTTAATTGCAATCAAAATTGAGGGAGCATTTATTAGTCATTAAGATGGGTAATGGTTTAAAAGCAAAAAGACGTTGTATGTTATATCTTTTAAAAGTGATATTTTTTATAAAGTCAGTAATATGTAAGGTACTGAAAAAATATCAATCTTAGATACTAAAAGTCCTAAAACTAATTGTAGAATAATGTCATTACCATAAACACAAAAGATTCGTAAAAGTTTTAGTAAGTTTAGGCGTACCATTTGAAACTTTTTTAATACATTAATTTTAAAGCTGTAAGATTCTAGCTTAATTCAGTTTACATTGTTGACTAGAACATTACTTGTCTTGTGAAGCGAACATTACTTGTCTTGTATAGCGCATTTTACTTGACTATTCGCGAAGTTCAAACTGTATCAATGACAAGACGTGAGAATGACGTGAGTGAAAAGGACCTTTCATTCAACTTAAGAAAGAATTTAAAGACAGCACTCTTGGTGGTTACAAGCTTAGCTAATACTTTTGCTAGCAACTGAAAACAGAAATATAAAATTTAAAACTAAATAATCAGTCGAAGCTGCACAGAAATAATTAACGCGAGTTGGCTGTTAGCCCACTACTGATGTACACAAATCGGCAAATATGTAAGTAAAATAGCAAGCTAAAATGAGCGAAGCAACGTGGCCGAACGACAGAACACGCTCTGTCTTAAGTAACTCAGAAACCAGCTTAAATAGTATATTTCTACCCTACTTTGCATAACACTCGAAACTGAAGTATATTATTCTGGCAGGAAATGGAAATGAAACTGGTTAGGTTAAAACAAAATGCTTTTTTACAAAGCTATCCATTTATCACTATTTCCATTCATGTATTCGAAACATGCAACCAACATTTGTAAATAGTCTGGAAATGCATTTGTGCACTGAAATTTAAGCAGTCAGAAAGCTTAATTCGCAAAAGTGTGAAGTAATCTGAAATTAATATTACATATTTACATAATTTGAAAAATCTGTTATTAATAAAAGATGACCACAAAGTCACTGAAGAGCTTTACTCTGTTGTATACCCCTGTATGATGTCGTACTGAAAACGTGTATAGTGTAATTACACGTTTATCAAGGCTTTTTTTCTAACAACTGACTTTGATTTAATCTATACATAATGTGAGAACTTTGGTCTCTGAAAATCCTCGTGCCACAAGCGAGCTGAAGTAGGACAGTCTGGATGTGAATATTTGGTATGGGATGCTGCTGTTAAATAGCTTAAGTTCACGCCGGGAAATAATGTTATGAATCTTACTTCACGGCACCAATGTTATATCTTAAATTCATATAAAAATGTTAAATATGAAACTACTTGCCGTAAAAGGCAGTAATCGTATAGTGAAACGTGTACAGCATTTTTGCGTTGTGAAAAAAATGCATTCCGGGACCGCGCCGTGAGAGGATCGAAAACATAAAACATATACAAGATATAAAGGAAAAGTTCATATTAAATATATAAAGAAAACATACTGTAAGAGGTTCCAGATTAAATATCAGTTTATTCAATTACAACACAATAAGAAAAATCTTAACCTCATCTGAGAGTCTGTTCATTTAAATTCATAAAAAAACTTAAGGTTTGTCTGGTGATTAAAAGAAAGGAAAGGGAAACAATTTAAGGCCTGAGAGTTAAATTTTAGATTTGACGTTGTTTTTTTTCTGCTAAGGACGTTTTTGAAAAGCTTGCCTAAAGTTCAAACACACCAAAAAAAAAAATAAAACTTATCTTGAAGGGACATCTTGAAGCGGAGGACTCTTATCTTATCCCGCGTTGATGTCGGCCGGGCTCATCTTGACACTGGTTCTAAAAATGTAGACCCACTTCACTACTGTAGAACAGAAACAGGAGCACTGCTGCCCAGGACGGCTATCCACTTGGTCCTGAAAGTCCTATGTCAACACGCAGGTAACTCGTTCAAATTTCGCCGGTCAGAAACGTTGTTGCTAGGAAATTACGGCTCGCCTGTTCTTACTCATCCCAAGAGCAAGCTTCACGGGTAACGTCCCAAGTAAGTTCCAGAGTAACATCCACAAGTCCAGCCAACCAGTAAGTGCGCGAGCGAGTCCAAAAGTAAGAGTGTCCAGAGTAAGTAGTGTGTAAGAGAGTCTCGCCTCTTAACCAAAACGCGGCCGGGGAGCATATTTGCCGCTCCCCGCCGGAAAAACACCTCTCGGAGTCACTTACATTTTGTCCAGCAAGCCCAAAAATCAGCGAGTCAGTCCGAGAGTCAGCCAAAAGTAAGTATCCAACTCAAATTTCCTTCTTGTCCTTCACCAAACGGGCTCCCACTATGGCTTCACTTATCGCCCCCTTAATTATGGCAAAATCTTCGTTTTCAACTCCAGAATGCGGAAAAAAGGGTGATCGCGCATGCGCGCCCTTCTTCACTTAGCCAACAACCGGACCCTCAATCGCCAAAAACCTGAATGACTTACATTGAAAGACAAGTAGCAACCTTTGACCTTTCCGTCACGTACTTTCCTCTCTTAAGGTCAACTAACAATGAAAATTCTTTCTCGAACATTCTAAAGCGCGCGAAATCATGACTTGGCGAAAATTTCCCTGCTTCTTTCACAATGAATAAAAGTTTGTACAAGATTTACAAATAAAAGAAAATAAATAATATTCATTTATACTAAATAATATTTCCAGAAGCATCTGTTTCTCCCCAAAATTAAAGCCTTAAATTAAATAATTCAGAATCAAAATAAAATTTAAATTTCCATAAATCATAAAATCATTCACATAGTTTTTACAACGCTATCAGATAATTTCTGTACATAACACTGCATGACAAGATTTAAGACATTTTTCCTCTATGAACAAATAACAGCAGCCTTCGCATTTGCCCACAGTTAAAGGTCCGTCAACCGCATTTCATTGCTCATTAAGTAGAAACCCAACACGTTGGACGCCATGTGTTCTCAGTTCTCTTTACAGAACATTCCCCAACAGATGGATAGGGAGGATGAACCCATTCCATGGCCACCACGTTTGCTTAACATAATCCCTTTGGACATTTTTCTGTTGGTTTCTATGTATTAAAAGCATTGTCTACTCTTAGAAAGCGTCAAAAATTGTAGATCTGAAGACAGTCAGCAATACCAATGATCATGCCAATGCCTTAACTAATGATCACACCATGTTGCACCATACTTGATAAGAACTACAATATCAGCTTGATGCTTGTGCGAAGCCAACGATGCGCATAGTCGAAGTTGTGTAATTTCTATCACTTCTGACAAAAACTATGACGTTTGCTAGTGAAAATGTGATCAGTACCAAAGTTGTTCCATTCCCAGACATCAGACTACTAAAGCTTTTAACCCTTTGCGGCACAGTGTGTCCGGCCAGGACACACCTAAAAATTTCCTTCTGTACGCACAGAAAAATCAAATGAAAAAGAATTTATAGGTTACTCTGAACCTTCTTTATTTATAGCAGATGGTAGCTCATCACAAACCAGTCCATATATTTTTGCCATGTTTAGTTTTTTAAGACCCTCATTTTTCAAAGAAATGTTCCCGATTTTTTTAGGGTATAAAAGGAATTGTGTGAAAAGAAATTTATATGTTATTTTTCTTGGCTGTATACTATTCTCCTTATTTTATATTAGTTTTAAATTTTTACCTTGAAATCTTGCCTAAAATCAAAAGGCAAACCCTAGGTGTGCCCGGACCGGGCTCACCGATAATCTAGAACAACTGAGAGTATGTATTCTTTATTTCTCCGCATCTCATCGGTCAGTCCATTGACGATGCTCGTTTCAGCACTCTTTTCGAAGCTCTTTTCAATCAGTGTGCCCACTTTGGGCACACCCACAGAATTAAAAGATAAGTGCTATCTTCACAAAATTTTACTTGTGTACTCCTCTAGGCCTAATTAGTCTAACCTCTTTTTGTTTTTTTTGTTTTTTTTTTTCTTTCAAAACTCCAACTTTAAAAGGTAGCGTGCCGGGAAGGGTTAAGGGACTTAGTGGGCACCCGATATACAGAGAGTAATATTTGGATGATCTTGAGATAAAATTAAGTTTCGGGGGGTAGACAGGAGTGAAGGGGTTGTTATTTACGTAACATTAAAACTCCTACTGTAGCATGACAGAGTATGAATAATACGATATATATGCCGGGCCCTTCTGCATGTACCTTTTTGCTTATTGAGGCACCAGTATTTATTTGCTCAGATTCCTTCTGTATAAATGTGTAATGTGAAATTAGCAAACACTGTGTTACAAAAGTGCTACCGGTTTTAAGGTATCGAAGTAATGCATACATATTCTTTTGTTTAAAAAACTCGAAAGCAAATATAATTGTGAAAACAATTAATATATTATATCTTAGATTTTAAGACGCCATCGATTTTAAAGAGAATTCTTTGATTTCTGTACTGCCAACAGAAGGAAGACGTTGATTCTAAGGGAATAATACAAGTGAAATAACACTCAAAAATGGTTCTAACAATCATTCTTTTAATTAATTGTCTTTGATTTGTTTACAGAATACAATATTCTTTTTTAAATTCATAATTCAGAAATCCAGAGAAATTTGAAATATATTACATACCGTTTGTGATCGATTATCAAATGCAGTCCTTTTAAGAGACTCTTAAATGAAAAAAAGCCGCATTTTATAATAGGAGAAACGCGATTTCTTTGATGTAGTTAATTATTTGCGTTGTTCCC